TTCATCTGTGAAGCAATCTGATCTTGGGCTTTTGGGGGGAGTTGACTACTGATTCAATTTTATTACTAGTGATCAGTCTGTTCAGATTTTGTTTCTTCCTGATTCAGTCTTGAAAGATTATGTTTCTAAATTTATCCATTTCTTCTAGGTTGTCCCACTTGTTAGAATATAATTTTTTGTAATAGTCTTTTATAATCCTTTTTTATTTCTATGGTGTTGGCTGTAACTTCTCCTGTTTCATTTCTGATTTAAGTCCTTTTTTTTTCTTTGAGCCTGGCTAAAGGTTTTAAACATTGTTTATCTTTTTAAAGAATCAGTTGTTAGTTTCACTGATCGTTTCTAATTTTTTGTCCCTATTACATTGTGATCTTTATTACTTTCTTCTGCTAACTGGGTCTTTGTTCTTTTTCTACTAAGTTTAGATTAGGTTAGATTGTTTGGAACTATTCTTATTTCTTGAGGTAGGCCTGTTTTGTTATAAACTTCTTAGAACTGCTTCTGTTGCATCCTAAGGATTTTGGAATATTGTATTTCTATTGTAATTTGTCTCAAGGTATTTTTGGATTCTCTTTGATTTTTGTTGACCTATTGCTTGTTTAGTAGCATGTTTTGGGCCTTCATTTTTTTACGGTTTTTTTTTTTTAATTGCAATTAATTTCTAGTGTCATACTGTTGTCAGAAAAGATGTTAAGCATTTGCTTTCAGCTCAGGTCATGATCCCAGAGTCCTGGGATCTAGTCCCTAGTTGGGCTTCCAGCTCAGCAAGAAGCTTCCTCCCCACTCATGCTCTTACAATCTTTATCACTATCTTTCTCTGTCAAATAAATAAATAAAATCCTTTAAAAAAAAAAAGATGCTTGATAAGATTTCAATCTTCTTAAATTTATTGAGACTTATTTCTGGCCCAACGTGATCTCTTTTAGAGAATGTTCCATGTGTACTTCAAAAAAATGTGCATTCTGCTGTTTGGGGATGAAATATTCTATGTCTGTTAAGCCAATCTGGTTTAATGTGTCGTTAAAACTACTGTTTCCTTATTTCCTGTCTGGACTAATTATCCATTGTTGCTAGTGGGGCATTAAAGTCTCCTCCTACTACTGTATTTCTCCTTTTTAGGTCTGTTAATAATTTGCTTTATATATTTAAATGCTGCTATGTTGGATACATAAATATTTACAATTATAGCCTCTTGTTGGCTTGATCCCTTTATCACTATTAATGCCCTTCTTTGTCTCTTATTATAGTCTTTGTATTAAGGTCTATTTTTGTCTAGGTATTACCACCCTCATTTTTTCCTTCACTTCCATTTGCATGGAATATCTGTTTTCATTCCTTCACTTTCAGTATGTTTTTTCGGTCTGAAGTGAGTCTCTTCTATGCAGCACACAGATGAGAGTTTTGTTTCCTTTTGTAAATCCATCCAGTCATTTCATGTTTTTTGGCTGGAGCATTTAGTTCATTTACATTTAATGTAATCATTGATAGGTGATAACTTATTGTTATTTTGTTAACTGTTTTCTTTTTTATAACTTTATTTTTTAAATTTTTTTTTATTTATTTATGATAGTCACACAGAATGAGAGAGAGAGGCAGAGACATAGGCAGAGGGAGAAGCAGGCTCCATGCCCTGGGAGCCTGACATGGGATTCGATCCCGGGTCTCCAGGATCGTGCCCTGGGCCAAAGGTAGGCGCTAAACCGCTGCGCCACCCAGGGATCCCTGTTAACTGTTTTCTATTTGGATTTATTTATTTATTTAGATGAAATTTTAAACTGAGAATATCTTCCCCCCCTTTATCTTTTTAAAATTAAATTCAATTAATTAACAATGTATTATTCGTTCCAGAGATAGAGATCAGTGATTCATCTGTTTGTTTTTGTAGTTCTGTTCTTTTCCTCTTCTCTTGCTCTCTTCTCTTGTGATTTCATGACTTTCATAATGTTATGCTGGGTTCCTTTCTGTTTGTTTTGTGTGTGTGTGTGTGTGTGTGTGTGTGTGTGTGTGCGCGTTATAGGTTTTTAGTGCCATGAGATTCATTCTAAAAGCACAGTACATTATCCTTTCATTATGTATTTGATATTATATTTTTTGTATTTTTATTTTCTCTTATTATAGATATAATTGATTTTAGTAATTTTGTCTTTTAATTTTTATACTAGCTTGAAGTGATTTATCTATTTTTTACTGTATTTTGTTTTTGCCAGTAAAAGTCTTCTTTCATAATTTTTAAAAATTTTCTGCTTAGAAGATTTCCTTTCACATTTTTTTGTAAGACTGGTATAGTGGTAATGAACTCCTTTAAACTTTTGTTTGGAAAACTTTTTATCTCGCCTTTAATTCTTGCTGGGTAGAGCATTCTTGGTTGTAGTTTTTTTTTCATTTCAGCACTTTGAACATACTTCACACTAGTCTCTTCTGGCCTGCAAAGCTTCTGCTGAAAAATCAGCTAATATGGGCGTATGGGTGTTTTGTTGCATATAACTAGTTGCTTTTCTCTGGCTGTTTTTAAGATTCTCTCTTTACCTTTGGGCATCTTAATTATTATATGTCTTATTTCAGAACACTTGGTTCATCTTGTTTGGGATTCTCTTGTGCTTCCTGGACCTGGATGTCAGTTTCCTTCCCCAGGTCAGGGAAGTTTTCAGCTATTTTCTCTTCAAATAAGTTTTCTATCCCTTTCTCTCTCTTCTTCTAGGACCCCTATAATGTGAATGTTAGTCTGTTTAATGTTCTAGAAGTCCCTTACCCTATCCTCATTTTAAGAAATTCTTTTCCTTTTGCTTTTCTGTTTGGATGATTTCCACCACCCTGTCTTCCATATTGCTGTTCTGCATCTTCTAATCTGTTGTTGATTCCCTCAGTATATGTTTCATTTCAGTTATTACATTCTTCAGCTCTAGTTGGTTCTTTTTAATATTTTTCTATCTCCTTAAGTTTTCCCTGAGTTCATTCACTCTTCTAAGTTCAGTGAGCATTTTAGGACTATTACTTTGAATTCTTTTTCAGGTAGATTGCTTGTTTCCACTTTATTTGGTTCTTTTTCTGAGGTTTTGTCTTGTTCTCATTTAAAATATATTATTGTATCTCTTTGTGTTTGTTTCTTGGTATTAGGTAAGTCAGCTATATCTCCTGGGTTAAAGGTAATGTCCCATGGGCCTAGAAGTACAATTTTTCTTGGTCACCAGTACCAGGCATTCCAGGACTATCCTCTGTATGGGCTGTGTGACCTCCTTTTGTGACATGCCATAACTGCTGTGGGTGTGCTCATGGACAGGCTAGCACAGCTGACTGACTAGAGGCCTGGCTGTGGCTCCTGTGGGCATGCTGATGGATGGCATCAGGCCTCAGTGTAGCTGGTTATGAGGCCCATCCACAACTGGTATGGGTGAGCTGATGGGCAGAGATGCCTCCCTCACCCAAGGCTGGAGTAACTATGGAAGGGTAGCAGTGCCAACAGAGGCTGCCCCCTGGTTATGGCATGGTGGCAGCTGCTTTGGAGGGGCACCTGCCAAGTTGGGTAGGGCAGGTCTGCAGGGGAATGCCAGAGTGAGGCAAGCTATGCTAGCAAGGTAGATGGAAAGTATCACACTGTCATTTGCCAGTGTTAGCAAATGTTGACTAGCTGGGTTGAAGATGGGACAAAAAATGGTGTATATGAGAACTCCTGTTCTTGGGAAAAGTGCCCAGCCTTTATGGTACATGCCTTAAAATCTGTCAATAAATCTTGATGTCTAGCTCAGATGATTTTTAAACTGCTGTTGCTTTGCTGGTTTTGGAGAAAGTGATACTGTTTGCAGGCCATTTAAGAGGTTTAAGAGGTCTAGGTTTCCTATAGTTCTCAGGGTCTTCTGGAGCGAAACCCCACTGATGTCCCTGAGACATTACAGGGATTCATATTCCTGAGTCCCCAGGCAGGGGGTCCTTGATGTGGAGTTGAACTCTTTGCTCCACAGGGACCACCTTCACCTCTGATATCCCTCCTGCTATGGGTTATTGCTGGACACTTTTCAAATGTCTATTTTTCCACTGGGTCTCAAGGGTAACCAAGACTTCATGTGAGACTTTCAAGTGGGGAACCTCAGTTTCCTATAGCACATGGGGCCCCTGGATGTCAACTTGTTGACTTTCCATGCTAGATGTTCTGGGTGCTTGTTTCTCTAGTGCAGATCGCAGGGGCCAGAGTGCCTAATGTAAGGCACCAACCCCTTGCTCTTCTGGAAGAAATGCCTAGCTGGTGTGTGTTGCTATACTGTGGGTTGGATTTTTTTGTGACAGTGTCTCTGCCTCTTCTGTCTTTACCCTTTGTTGTGGACAGCAATTTATCTAATTTTCAGATTTTCTGGAGGGAAATGACCCATAAGTTCCTATAGATGTGGTATGTCTGAGTGAGGATGTGAGTTCAGAATCTTCCCATGCTTCCATCTTGGACGCAATCTCTTGGGTCCATATATTTTCTATTTGCCCTTCCAGATATGTTTTCCTCTATTCTTCACTTGCTCTATGTGCAGGAAAGCTGACCTGTCTGGACTATATTAATGAGCTGACTTGCATTCTGGCTTCTGACTGGCTTTGACTAATTGGAGCACAGAAGAGTTAAGTCAGGGTATTTTATTCCCCCAGCTCCCTCCTTGCTATGGTGAGCTGTGCCTGTCTCCTACTGGGGAGAGTTATAGTTTTGTATGGATTGCCATAATAATTACCTCTCCTTGGGGCCAAAGGGTAGCAGAAACTTCCCCCTATGATTAACCCTGGGGTACTATGGTTATTTCCTTATTGGCTTTTCTAAACATTGCCTAAACATGTATACATAGTCCTTTTATTAAACTGCCCTTCATTACCTGGTTTGCATATATCTGTTTCCTATTATAATAAATGTATCAACTGATAATGTGGTTTTAATAAACCTCATGAACATTTGGGGGTCCACTGGACATTATAATATATTGATACTTAAGATCTTTCACGTTTTGTACATAATTATTAACAGTAATATATCTCACCTGTTCATAGACTTTGAACCTTCCAAAGGATAGTAGAAAAGAGCAATTATAGTGAGAACAGTTTCCATGGTGTTTGTAAGAGTTCTGGTACAGCAATACCATGTGAACCAAGAGCTTAACTGGCAAAAAAACTAAGAACAATTATAAGCAAACATATAGGGAGGGAGAATTGGAAAAGCTCAGTATTATCTTCTTTTATGGAAAATATCAAGTCTACATATTGCAAAAAATCACATCAAAAGATAAACGATATTGAAAACAGTCATGCCCAAAGATTGTTTTTAAGGAGTTATATTACACATAGGTCTATAATAATACCAGATATATTATGTGTTAAAGTTAGTAAGTTTATACTTTCAGGTAAATTGACTAAAATTTAAAAAAAAAACAGTTTTTGGAAGAACATGCAGAAGCATCAAATCTACAAAGCAACTGTCTTAAAAGAAACTTGTTAGCTAGTGCAAGGATGTTATACATGTGGTACTGGCTTCCTATCTCTTCAAATATAGCCTTTAAAAAATGTTCCAAAGTTTTGTAGATATAAAGGCTTTTCCTAAACTATAACAACTTAGTACTTTAGAGGAAGAATTTCAAAGGTATTACATTCTTGCCATTTTAGGTTGAGCCTTCAGCAGTGTATATAAGCACAAAATAAGGAGACTGATTTTATCCTTGAATCAATTAACAACCACTCAATCACTAAACCATGCTGTCTTTTTAATGCAAATAAAAACACTACCCACAGAAATATCTTAATTAGCAAATTATAATATTTATTAATAGATTAATAAAAATTATATTCTAGAAATTTGTTGATAAATTGGTCACTTGGAATTCAGAACATATTTTCCAGTAGAAACTATTAAAAAGGCAGTAACATTTCTAAGCAGGCTTATATAAGTTTATTTAATTTAAGAAAGAGCCAAAGGAGGTTAATCACAGTACTAAAGAATCCAGTCACTCTTCAGGATATGGTTTCAATGAGAAAATCAAAATTTGAATGTGATATCAGGAATCTATCTCCCCACTGTGAAATAAGCCAGTTTGACAAAGGACAGTTTTCTACACTACATATTCTCCCTTACAGAGTTTATTTCAAACACTAGCTAGAGGTGAAAGAATGCTTCAGTGAAAACATACTTCTTAGGCTCAGTCTCAAGTATGAGGTGTGAACAATGGATGTAAACAGTGGAGGTGATTTGTGAGGTAGCCAATAATTAGAACTATTCCTACTGGGGGCACCTGGTGGCTCACTTGGTTAAGCATCTGCCTTTGGCTCAGGTCATGATCCTGGAGTCTTGGGATAGAGTCTCGGGATTGAGTCCCAGGATTGATTGGATGAAGCCCTGCATCAGGCTTCCTGCTCAGTGGGGAGTCTGCTTCTCCCTCTCCTCCTGCTCATGCTCTCTCACTTTCTCTCTCAAATAAGTAAAATCTTAAAAAAAAAAAAAAAGAAAGAAGAAAGAAAGAAAGAAAGAAAGAAAGAAAGAAAGAAAGAAAGGAAGAAAGAAAGACAAAAAAGAACTATTCCTAACTGAATTTTATAGAAAGTGAGGCAAGGATTATGACAGGTTTGACCAATGAAGTGAAGATGTTTCCAAAGGCTGCTCCTAGGGTTCAGCCTCTCAAAGATTTTGAGGGCATCGGTGGCTTCAATCACCCAGGGTGCAATCAGAAGGAGGTATGGCATGCACCACTTGCATTTTGTTGTTCTTCATTATGGAAGTACCTCTATAACACTGTTCAAATTATCTTTTGAACCTGTTTTAAGAATCGATATTTTTCCATGTGTTTTATGCTGTTAGGAATGAAATAAGTGACTAGTTTCTAAAAGGTTTAACACTTACCACCCATCTTGCCATTTGGTGATTTTCTAGTTGCTTCATTAAGGAGTAGAGTCTGATGTCTGCTATAGCAGATAGAAGTGCTTGGGCAAGTCTAGGAATCCAAATCTTCAATAGTTGTTTTTTTTTTTTAATTAAAAAAAGAAGATATTTAAAAACATGTACCAGTTCACACTGAATTAGCATAAAAAATCAACAAACTGATCCGACTATCAACTGAAGGCCCTTCTTAGTACAAAAATAGACATAATATATTAGTCTATTCTGCAAAAATACCTGTTTTTTGACAAAAATTACATTAATTTTTCAGGAAAATGCCCAAAGTAGTTTTATCATTCTCATTCTTTCTCTCTGTAATTTATATATTACAACACTACTGCTTTTAATTTAGATAGCCAACAAAATAGTTCATTGCATTAAGGTTCTATTTTGGAAGCACATTTAGTGATTTCCATTAGCATAACAGTAAGTTAAATTTTTATGAATCATTTATAATAGTGTGTGATGGGTATCATACCAAGTACTTTATATATATCACCTCATTCAGTCCTCCTAACAATCTCTGTGAGATAGGTACTGCTTTATAAGTGAGGAAACTGAGGTACAGAGACATTAAATAATTTTCTCAAGGCTACAAAGCTACTTAGTGTCAAAGCTAGGATTCAAACCCAGCTCTTTGTGATTCTGAAGCCTGTGCTCTTAACTACTAAGTTACATTGTTTTTCATCCTGCAATACAGATGATAAAATTACTTTTTTTTCCCCATAAAAGGACAAGTATTCTACAATTACAAAAACACAGTAATCAGATGACATTAAAAAGTAAATTTAAGAGTAAAACTAGGGGCAGCCAGGGTGGCTCAGCGGTTTAGTGCCACCTTCAGCCCAGGGCCTGATCCTGGAGACCTGGGATCGAGTTCCATGTTGGGCTCCCTGCCTGGAGCCTGCTTCTCCCTCTGCCTGTGTCTCTGCGCCTCTCTCTCTCTCTCTCTCTCTCTCTGTGTTTCTCATGGATAAATAAATAAAAATCTTAAAAAAAAAGTAAAACTAAAGAGTAAATGTATTATAACTTAATTACAGTTAGTAATTCTAATATTACACAATGACATCTTTGAGAGTTTTAAAAAAAATGTGTCCGAGCTATCATTAACAAAATAACACACTGATAGAGCACAATTTAATCTAGGTTTGTTCGAAAGATGTGTTTCTAAAAATATATTTAAATTTGTATTTTTGTTGGACCAATCTTTATTAACTTTAGAGTAGCTTTACTTTCAGGTGTCAGTGGCTTCTAACACTTTTGTTTTATGTTCCTCCTCTTTGTCAGTAATCTGTAAATATTTAAGTCTTAAAGGTATACTGTACTTCATAATTTCACTTAAAAAAAATAATTGCCCTGTAAAATAGAGCAAAAGGCATCTATGTACATACCTTTTGTTTACTCTGCATAGAGATCTATATTCTTCTTACCTCTAGGCCTGAAAGTAGTTCATGTGAAAAGTTAATTTGGGGCAAAGAGAAGGAACATGCAAGGGGTAAACCTTGAGTATGATACTGTGTTGGCAGCTTACCATTCTCCTGTTCTTTAAGCTCCTGATTCCTCCATTAAGCTTCCAGAGGCCAAATGCCCTTGTATGTCTTCTGACTATTGAAAGCCCCCACTGTGGAACCCCATTCAGGTCTCCCTTCTATATCCCTTTCTTCTCACGTGTTCTAAGCCAGTGCTGTCCAGTAGAAATATAACACGAGCCACGTACATAGTTTAAAATTTTATAGTAGCCAAATTAAAAAATTAAAAAAAAAATCCCAAACAGGTAAAATTAATTTTATTTATTTTGTTTCACCTGACATATCTAAAATATTACCAATCCATCAAAATAAAAAATTATAGAAACATTTTACATTTTTATTTTGTACTAGGTTTTTGACATCTAGTATGAATTTTATAGTAATAGCACTTCTCAATTTAGACTAGCCACATCTCACATATTCAATAGACACATGTGGCAGTGGCTACCATGTCAGACAGTGCAATTCTAAGCCATTCCTAATTCTATACTCATATTTTATGCAGTTTAGGGAGAAGCTGTCTTGTAAGAGCTCAACATGCTGTGACCTTGGTTTATTGATTTCACTTCTCTGACCCCTTCTAGTTTCAAAATTATGTAATCTACATTTAAAAAAAAATCAGTATGACAGGTATGAATGACTGATAGCATCTTAATGTTTCTCTACCTGGTCAAGTTCCAGATAGGATGGAGGTTTTTTGAGGGGGACAATGGGGTGAGGATGGGGGGGAGGGCAAGAGGCGGCTTACTTTAAAGCACAAGATGGCCCCGTGGGTCAGCTACAGGTTGAAGAGAGTGGCTAGGTCCTGAAGGAATAGCAAGTTTTCTATCTTGAAGACTCCTTCATTCATAATATAACCTACTTCTTGGGATATAAGATATCCATGATGACATCATGCATATTTGCCTGTGGTTCCAGACTTTATGGATACTCTACATAATCTAGAAGACCTGACAAGAGAAGCAAATTCACAGCTCCTAACTTCTACATGTGTCAATGGGAGAAACTCTGCTAATGCTCTACATTCTCCTTCCCCATGATCTTTCCATGTGTTTCCAGGCTCCAAGAAACCCTCAGGATTTGGACAGCCTTTGGAATTTTGGGCCACTTCCCTAACAGAAAATGGGGAAGGCCCAAACTTCTGAGTCTAATCTGAGGACAGCTTAAAGGATTTTGAGAGTGAGTTTAGAAAAACTTTGGCACCACTAGTTCTTCACTACCCTTTCTTGGCAACTGACACCAGAAATTCATGATCTAGGAATTACAACCTTATTACTATTGCTGCCTAATTACTACATATATAGCACAATGATTGTACATATCATTAAATTCTTGTCAAATTAATTTTCTCTAAGATTAAATTCCAACACTAAATCCTGAGTAGGTTTATATACATTTAGTCTTCATAAGCTCATATAACACGGTCTTCTGCTCACAAGTTAAAAAAACAAGATACAACACTGCTCTCATGTGATGCTTTCATGAAGGAAGAATACTTCTAAGGTTCAAATAATTAATATATAATGTAGTCATTCTGAAAGTCTGCAAATTTTAACAGGATTCCTTCAAGTAGGACACTTTTATGCTGTTTTTGTGTTTTAGCACATAATAAGGGGTTACACATCATAGTATGTCTTTGTAACTGTGGGCTTCCCAGATATGGTCAGGGTTTAGCAACAAGTATCTTTAAAAAAAAAAACACAAAACTTTGTGATACCAATAATGTCATTTAGTTAATATACATGAGCCTTTTAAAAAGGGTGGAATAAATCTACTTTTGATAACTATTTTCATTACTTTTATATAAACTTACCAGTAGCTGAACACTATCTTTTCCCAAAAGATGCAGAATCTTGTAAATGCTTGCAAAGATTAAGGGGTATGTGTAACCCCTCAATCTTTCTGTCCATTCCCAGGTCAAATAACCATAATTAGTGATATTAAGGACTAATGTTGAATAGCACTGAAACAATCTCTTTTAATGTCTGTGCATAAAAAATTTCTATTTTTTTGATAATGAAACTTAAAAACACAGCATTTCACACTGGTTATTTAAGTTAAAAATGCAATGGCCAATTAAACTCATAATTTCTTCATGAAGGGAATGTGTTTTTTACTTCATCTATATCTTCCACAGTACTGAGCACTATGGGAAGACCTGCTGGCTAAAGGTTGAGTCAAGTGTATTAACATCAAAGAAAGATATAGAAGAAATATTAGTATAAAATAATGGTGTACTTTGATAAGTTAAAATTACTTGGAGAATATATGGAAAATTGATTGAAAAAATACAATAGAAGCTGGCACAATTTCTAAGATGAATACACATTTCTAATTTGGAAAAGAAACTACAAAGGATATTTGAAAACCATGTGATGTGCAACTTCAAGAGACTGCCAATATTCATCTGGAACAAAACTTGTCTGGACTAAAAAACAGTTACATATTCGTAATGCTATGGTAAACGAGACCAAATAAACGTTTTCACCAAGAAGATCTAAAAAACAAAACAAAACAGGTAATTGTGGCACAAAAGTCAGGCAAGTTCTACTTGCAGAACTAAAATCTGCTGTTCCAGTTGGGGCCTTGCTCATTGCTCAGACTCAACGCACAGTAGAGAACTCTGGCTGACAGACAAGGGCTGGAGCTTTACCACTGGGTAATCATCACTCCTTCCATTTAACCAATCTTTCTTGCAATTAATTGTATAAAGAGAATAGTAAGATAACAATGAAAAAGAGATCAGGTTAACTAAGGCCTTAGGCTAATTAGGTAATAGCCTATCTAGGTAGCTAATGACAGAAACCAGCTAACAAATTACTAATTTAGGAGTCAAACAGTGGCATATCAAATGGTCCTCTGCATGTTTTTAAATAGCTCTTATTGTTGTTTAGTCTATGCAAGAGTTCATTCCTTCATGTTGCCTTATTTAATCCTCCAAATCGTGCTAAAGGGTAGGTATTGGCCCCATTTTACCTATAAGGAAAACAAGACTAAGAAGTTAAACTGCCTTGTCCAAAGTCAAAAAGGTTGTAAATGGCGAAACAGAATTCACAACCAGGGCTATCTGCTGCCTCTTTGCCACAAGTGGACAGCCTGCAGGCTGAATACAGAGTTGTTTTTTTTTTTTTTTGAATGTTAATTTGTCAACATTTAAAAATCCGACTTTATATTAAAATCTGTATTGCTGCATTCCTAAAAAAACATCTGACAACAGAGTTCAACTGGCTGGTTCTGAGAGGTGCTTTAATTTATTCAGACCTGCCTGTTTGTACTCTAATCCATTTTGAGTCTTTTGCTATAGTTCTAGGTTCCTGCCACTGTCCTCCATTATTCTCCAGGAACACATTTAAATATTTTTCAGATAACTGGTACATTCAACACAACACACACGCCCCATCTCAACGTTCGCCCTTCAGAAGCACTTAAACATCCCCACTGAACTACAGCCGCTGAAAGGAAACCCTGTGAAAAAAAAAAAACCCTTTTACTCTGTGGACTGGTGCAGAGTACACAATACTCAGAACTGGGCCCTGAACAAGTGATTCTGAATACCTAAAGGTTCAGCTATGTGACAAGTGCGGTCACTTATAATCTCGTTACTCTCCTTAACCCTGAGGGATCCAACTTCTCTACCGAAGGAAGGGTCAGGGGAAAAGAGCGAGAGAACTCCGGCCCAGCGGCCCCTCTCCCTCTCCCCGTCACAATCCTCCTTCATCTGGCAAAAATGATTCTCCCCTTTTTTCGTCTCAGGTCTCCACAGGGGAAACTCAGCATTCTTTTCATGCCGCTCACACAGTGCTTGGCACATACAAGGCGCACAATAAATATTTATTAAATGCAGAAGTCCATCCTTATATTAAAGACCGCCTCTGACAGATCAACAGCCCAGTTGCTGGGGGGTGATTTGGTTCCTGTCAACATCCTCACAACGGACCAAAGAGAAGGCTGGAGGCGGGAGAGGGGCTGTAATAAATGGAGTGGGAGTCAGACCTGGTCACCCCAGGAATCAATCCCTGGGCAGCCGCGAAACCTCAGGTAAGTTGCCCCCGTTCTTAAAATGCGGCCGGCTACGTCACGTCAACTCACTCCACCGGGCCGCGGCAGGATTAACCCACGCAGAATAAAACGCCGCACAAGCGGCCAGGGACGGAGAATCGCGGCTCCAGCGCACGACGATTTCTCGGCAACCCCGCCCAGCAGATGGAGCCCTCCCTCGCGGTCCGCGGCTTCCCGCCACAGCCGGGGAGCTTGGCGCCCTCCCCCCGCCCCCGCCCGCCCCTCACCTCCGCGGCGCTCGCTGCTCTTCCGGGGGCTGAGGTACAAAGTGGACTTTCTCTTTCGCAGCTTCACCTTCTCGTGGGAGCGGCTCTGGAATCCGCGGAAAAAAAGCCGGCCATCGTCGCCCCCTTGCTTCATCCTGATCCCGCTTCTAGGTCGGCTCAAGATCCCCAGCCACCTCAGACCCCGCAAAGGAGGAGCCGGGAATAGCGCGCGCGTTGCTCTTCCGCTCACTAAATTTGGCCTTTGCAGCCGCCGTCGCTCGCAGGCGCGGGGGTAGCTGGGAAACGGCAGCGCCCTGGCACAAGAACCTCCGAGGTTGGTGTCCGCCGCTCGGTGCGGCGGCTTTGTTTGCCGCGGGCTGGCCCGCGCGTTGCCTGCGGCTTATCGTCCTCGTGACACTGCTGCCCGCCTTTGGCTTCGTTGTCTCTGCGCCCGAGCTTCTCTTCCGGAAACCGCTGGAAGGAGCCGGAGCGCCGCTAGGCTGGGGCCTGCGGGAGGCTTGTCAGCGATGCGAAGCGGCCGCTCGACGGTCCGTGGTGCCTCAGTGGTAATAATAGTGATGATCATTGTAAACGTGTTGGTGTAGCATCTCACTGTTTGGTGGTCTCACAATAACTGTCGGACGAGGTAGGCGGCCTAGGGATGATTCAGCCTTTTGCACAGATGTGGAAAATGAGGTTCGGCAAAGTTAAATGACTCGGTCAGGGTCACTTAGCAAACTAGTGGCCAAGGGTTTCCTATTTCCTGTGGTTTATCTTCCAAGGAGCTGACTTGAAAATGGCTCCCCTACCTCCCCCTTTTTTTTTCCCCCCACACTCAGGCAATGAACCATAGCATGCTTGGTAAACTGTCGTTTATCTAGTTAACCGCAAGAGCCCAGGAGCAAACGGGCATTTCCCAGATTAATTTATATTACATTTTAGCGATGTTAAGGACAACCTAGTTTCTGGTACTAGTTCTGCCACTAGGGATTTTTGTAACCTCGGAGGCCTAGAAGAGGGTGAAACGTTAAGAAAACGTGTAAATCCGTCGCTCTGTTTTCCTCTTTCATAAACATCTGTTTTCTCCAGAGACTGGTGCTCACAACTATAATTTTCTGAGAAATAATGGAGTCTTTACTTCTCAGTCATTAAAAGTAAAATCTGTCAAATCTTTATTTTTTTTTTAAGATTTTATTTATTTATTTATGAGAGACACGGAGAGAGAGAGAGGCACAGACACAGACAGAGGGAGAAGCAGGCTCCATGCAGGGAGCCCGACGTGGGACTCGATCCCCGGTCTCCAGGATCACACCCCGGACCAAAGCCGGCACTAAACCGCTGAGCCACCCGGGCTGCCCAAATCTTTATATTTTTATAAAAAAAAATGGATGGCCAGTTATTTACATGTGTGTGTTTGATGACTACTTGTACCTTCTAAAGCATCAGAATGAACTCCAAATCTTTTAGCCTGTTGTGAAAATTTTTAATCATGCATATTGGCAAAAAAAAAAAAAAAAAAGCATGAAGTAGTAAACAAAACAACCCAAAAGGCTAATAGTGAAAAGTAACAATTCTCTTTCTTCTACTTCCAGATTGGATTGGCAGTCACTTTCAACTTTTGTGGGGAGCTGTTTCTTGTAGTGGCTAGTTTTATAATGGTATATAAAGGTGTAGAGTATGACTCTTCCCAGCCTCATTGCCATTTTAAGAATTACCCACTTCAAACCATTGAGAACATTCTGTAATGGGACTTAGCTTTGTCTTACACCATGCCCTAACCCTCATTTGTCATGCTTCCTATTTATTTATATTCCTATGTTAGTTAAACCACGTGATATTTACATATTATGAAAATTATGATGAAAATACTACTCACTCTGAAAGAAGGTAGTGACATGGAATCTTTTAAAGGATGTGTGCTAAGGTATTGCTTTGTTTTTCATTTTCTTTGTACACAGATCTGAAGATATTTTCCTGGATGTGGACTAATTTTTCAAAACCACTGTGTGGGGAAAGCATTGTATGGCATTTGTTGAAAAATGTTTGGGAGATTGACTCTTCCACAACTGCTTTTTGCTAGCATCCTTGGAATTGCTGGAGGGATGTATATTTATCAACCAATATTTGAACAGTACTACCGAGATCAGATGGAAGTAAAAGAAAAGTTGAAATTGGCACAAGAATCAGAAGAGAAGAAAAGTTAATACTACATGGAGTTGAATTGTAATTGTCTAATGTTCTATTGAAATTATACATTGACTATAAATAATCTAATGAAAACTTCTCAAATATGTTTTAAACACAAATAAATCATATGTAATGATTTTAAAACAAGCGCTGTCAATTTTAATGTTTACTTTTATTTGCGACTTTTTTTTAAACTAAAATGAATGTCTTCAGGAATATTTTGTTTCCTAGTTGAGGTTTTGTTTTTCTAGGAATGCAGGAGCAAGAGGTGACCAGACGCTGTTTATAAAATAGCTAGGAATGGTGTTTATAGTACTGGTTATAGATGAAGTAAATAAAGTTAACCATTTTGGGCAGAATGCTCCTCAAATAGCCTACAATTAGCCCAGTTTAATATACTTGAGCAGTTTTTTAGCCCCAGGCAGAATGGTGGAGTAAATTGAAAAATGATGTATTTCAGAGCAAGTTGAAGTTTTAGAGAAAATAGATGATATTATATAAGATGGCAGATATGACACAGATCTGTTTGGTAACCTAAACGAATTTGCATTAATAATGGTGGTAAGGGTAGAATTAGTTATGAAGCTATTTTTCATATAGTGTTATTGAAATTGGTAGGAACTGTTCATTACCTTTTATTCTAATCTTAAACTTGTATTTTCAAAGACAGCCATCAGTGTAATCACATGTACAAGATGCTTTATTTAAATCAACTCATTTTTATTATTGATTTCTTGAAAAGTAAATTTATTATAACTTCATGTAAGCTATCTATGTTGAATAGAGGCCAGCATAGGTAATTTTTAAAAGAGTGAAGAAAAAAAATTATTAAAGTATATGTACATTAAAAAATTCAAACTACAGGAATGAACAAAGTGAGAGGTTGAAATTATTGTATACATTTATTTAATCAGCACATTCAACAGTTTAGTGTGAGCTTTTGAGACTTTTTTTAAAAGATTGTATTTATTCATGAGACACACAGAGAGAGGCAGACATAGGCAGAGGGAGAAGCAGGCTCCATGCAGGGAGCCTGATGTGGGACTTGATCCCAGGACCCTAGGATCACGACCTGAGCTGAAGGCAGATGCTCAACCACTCAGCCACCCAGGTGTTCCGACTTTTTCTTCTATGCACATAAAAGTATACATTAAAATTTTAATTCATGTACCAAGTATTTACCACATGACAGGCTTAGCTTTGCTTGACTACAGCTAGACTGGGATTCTGTTGCAGGAGTCTGTTTGTTGTGGTACCCAGGTTCAAGGAACATCCCCTTTCTGGGATGTGGCAAATATAGGATTGAGACCAGGAAACAAGGAATGATAGTCCCATGTAACATAAAGTTAAATTGAACTGATTTTGATCCTCCTTTTGAGAATGATGCATTGGTCAGTTTAGTGGCAGAGAAAGAGTTAATTTTTTTCGTTTGATAAAGATCTTGCAGCCATTTATATCAAGGTCACAATGAGATACCACTTCATAAACTTAAGAGGACTACAAACAAGATGGAATAACAAGCGTCAGCAAGAATATGGAAAAATTGAAACCCTGATACACACGTCACTGGTGGGATATAAAACAGTGCAGTTGCTGTGGAACAGTTTGGCAGTTACTCAAAAAGTTAAACAGCATTGCTGTATGGCTCAGTAATTTTACTTCTAGGTATATGTCCAAAGGAAGTGAACACATCCATACAAAAATTTGTGTATGATTGTTCATAGCATCCTTATTATAATAGCTTAAAAAAGTGGAAATAACACAAACATCTGTCAATGCATAACAAATTATAACACATGATAGAATATTACTCAGCCATAATTAATGAAATAGTGACATGCTACAACATGAATAACCTTTGAAAATATGAAAGAAGCTGGGCACAAGAGGCCATTTATATGACATGTCTGAAACAGGCAAATGCAGGAAATGTAGATTAGTGGCTGCTAGGATACGGGGTTTCTTTTTAAGGTGAAAATGTTTTGGAACTAGATAGTGGTGGTCAGTGACAACCTTGTCAATTTATTGTATTGTACACTTTCAAACTCTTTTTATAAGGCTAGCATTCCCTAATGCCAAAACCAGATGAGGATACCACACACACACAAAAATGTTATAAGCCAACATCCCCGATGATCCCTGAACTGTACACTTTAAAATAGTGGACTTTAGTGTTTGAGAATTATATCTCAAAAAAGCTGTCTTCAAGAAAGAAAAAGGATGCTGTATACAGAATAGCTACAAATTGAGATAGTCCATTGTTTTCTGTCATAATCCATCTAGTTTGTTTTCTGTGTGTGGTAAAAATTACATAGCATGAAATTCATTATTTTACAGTTTTTAAGTGTAGAATTCAGTGGCATTAAACACATTAACAGGCAGCCCAGGTGGCTCAGCGGTTTGGCGCCACCTTCGGCCCAAGGCCTGATCCAGGAGACCCAGGATCGAGTCCCATGTGGGGCTCCCTGCATGGAGCCTGCTTCTCCCTCAGCCTGTGTCTCTCTGCCAGTCTCTCTCTCTCTCTCTCTCTCTCTCTCTCTCTCTGGGTCTCTCATGAATAAATAAAATCTTTTTTTTAGAAAAAAAAAAGTACATTCACATTGTGTAACTATTTCCATCCATCCATCTCTAGAGGCTTTTCCATCTAATTTTTGTAAGGCCCAAAGAGATGAATTGAATGGGGTATATAGAGACCCTCTGGCACATCCTTCAAATCTTTGAAGGTAGCATTAATGTCTGCAATTCTTTGACTAAATTGCTTCTAATTTACTGCCTTAGGGAAAGCAGATTAAGAGGCTTTGAGTTGGTTCTTTCTAAAATAAGGATTTGGTAGGGATTAAGTGTGCCCCCCCCCTCCCTAGAGTCCCTGGCAAAATTCGTTTATTGAATCCCTAAGCTCCAATGTGATGGTATTTGGAGGTGGGACCTTTGAGAGGTAATTAAGGTAGGGGTGGGGAGCCCTCAGGAATGGAATTAGTGCCCTCATAAGAAGAGATACAGGAGAGATGATCATCCTCTTTGCCATGTTAGTATATAATAAGAAGGTACAAATGGGAAAAGGGCCTTCTTGCCAGGCACCAAATCCACCAGCACCTTGATTTTGGACTTCACAGCCTTCAGAACTGTGGGAAATATTTGTGGTTTAAGCCACCCATTTTATGGTATTCTGTTACAGCAGCCTAAGGCAGGGTTCTTCCTATAACGTCAATGGTCACAGTGTATGATAGTTTTAATGTATTGTTGAATTTGTTTTGCTAATATTTCACTGAGAATTTTTGTACCTATATTCATCAGGGATATTGACCTGTAATTTTCTTTTTTGTGGCATCCTTATCTGGTTTTGGAATTAGGGTAGTAATGTGGGCCTTATAAAGTGATTTTGGAAGCATTCCCTCCCCTTCAGTTTTTTGTTTGTTTGTTTGTTTGGTTTTCTTTTTGGAAAAGTTTGAGAAGTATAGATATTAAATCTTTAAATATTTTGTAGAATTCAGCAATGAAGTCATCTGGTCCTGGGGTTTTGTTTGTTGGAAGGTTTGTGATTACTGATTCAATTTCCTTACTGGCAATTTGTATATTCCAATTTTCTATTTTTTCATGATTCAGTCTTGGAAGATTGTATGTTTCTAAGGGTTTATCCATTTCTTCTATGTTGTCCAGTTCATTAGCAAATAATTATTCATAGAGGTCTCTTACTATCCTTTGTATTTCTGCGGTATCAGTTATAACTTTTATTTCATTTTTAGTCTTACTTATTTGAGCCTTCTCATTTTGGTGAGTCTAGCTAAAGGTTTGTCAATTTTTTTTATCCTTCCAAAGAGCCAGTTTCATTGACTTTTTAATTTTATTTTTAGTTTATATTTCATTTATTTCTGTGACCTTCCTTCCTTCCTTCCTTCCTTCCTTCCTTCCTTCCTTCCTTCCTTCCTTCCTTCTACTAACTTTGGGCTTTATTTATTCTTTTTCTAGTTCCTTTAGATGTAAAGTTAGAGATTTTCCTTGTTTCTTGAGGTAAGCATGTATTGCTATGAACTTCCCTACTAGAACATCTTTTGCTGCATCCTGTGGATTTTGAATTGTTATATTTACATTTCATTTGTCTCAAGGTATTTTCTGATTTCCTCTTTGATTTCTTTGTTGACCCATTGATTGTTCAGTAGCATGTTGTTTAATCTACATTTTATGATTTTTTCAGTTTTCTTCTTGTCATCACTTTTTAGTTTCATGCCATTGTGATAAAAAAGATGCTTGATATGATTTTGGTCTTTTTGTTTTGTGGCCTAACATGTGATCTGTCCTGGAGAATGTTTTATATGCACTTAAGAAGCATGTGTATTCTGCTGCTTTTGGATTGAATGTTATGTATTTTTCTATTAAGTCCATCTGATCTAATGTGTTGTTTAAAGCCAATGTTTCCGTTTTGATTTTCTGTCTGGATGATTGAGGAAACTGGTGTGTTAAAGTCCACCATTATTATTGTATTGCAGGCAATATCTCCATTTATTGTCTGTTAATATTTGCTTTATATATAGGTGCTCCTATGTTAGATGCATAAATATTTATAATTTTTATATACTCTTTTTTGATTGACTTGCCTTTTCATTATGTAATGCCCTTCTTTGTCTTTTATAGTCTTTGTTTTAAAGTCTGTATACCAGCTACACCAGCTTTTTTTCATTTTCATTTCATTTACATGGAATATTTGTTTCCACCTTTTTCCTTTCAGGCTATATTGTCATTACTTCTGAAGAGATTCTCTTTTAGGCAGTATATAGATGAGTCTTGTTTTTTTTTTTTTCCTTTTAATCCATTTAGCTGCTCTATGTCTTTTTTTTTTCCACTCTGTCTTTTGATAGGAGGATTTAGTCCATTTACATTTTAAGTAATTATTGGTAAGTAGGTATTTACTGCTATTTTAATTGTTTTCCAGATGTTTTTGTATTTCCTGTCTGTTCCTTTCTACTTCTCTTGCTTTTTTCCCTGTGGTTTGATGAATTTCTTTAGTATTATGTTTAGGTTTTTTTTTTTTTTTTCTCATTATCTTTTGTGTTATCAGTAGTAGGTTTTTCCTTTGCAGTTACCATGAAGTTCATATATAACAGCCTGTGTATATAGCAGTATTTTTTAAGTCAACAGCAACTTAAGTTTTT